CAGATGAATGAGCTTATAGCTTAGAACTGAATGGCTTATAACTATCGTTTATTTCTTTCATGGTTTCTGTGGGTGAGGAACGGGAAAAGCCAGGCTGGGCAGTTCTCTCTGAAAAATTGTTCCAGCAAAGCAGGCAGAAATTGAATCCCTGCCCCTGTTATAGCCCATCCTCGTAAGTCACATAGTGTCATTTCGTTTGCACTCTGTTGACTGACAGGCCCACACACATTCAAGGGAGGGGAACAGAGACTTCACTTCTTGGTGGGAATGGGGTCAAAGAATTTGGGGCCACGGTAGGTAATCCACAAATATTTGTTTACATAGATGTTGACCAAGTTATTGTGTTACAGGACATCAGATAAAGCAAAGGCCACTGGGATGAGAACCATGAAGCCAGTGGAAATGTAGTTGGCCCATCAGGCTGGTAGTTTTCGCATCTGTCAGTGTCCCTTAAAAAGCCACAACTGGATTATATTTAGCAAGTGATGACATGTGGCTGGGAGTTTCCCAAACTGCGGGATGAATGTGGTGTATGACATGACTTCAAGCGACATGTAGTCATAGCGTTAAATGACACTGAGTCACATGTATTATAGTTGCCCTGTTTTCAATTCTCTTTCACTCTTTCTCATCACGTCAAAGAGAAAGTTTCCACTGAGTGATAATATGCTTTTAATACCCCTCTAATACTTTGCTAATCTCCCTGCACATGAAAGAAAAAGCAGGCTTTGGACTCAGCTCCTTGGCAGGCAACCATATCTACCTAGAACTTAAAAACATTGTTTTGTTTTCACATTTATTTTTTACAATGATTTTCTATTCATGGTTTAGTAGTTTTCTATTTTAAATGGTGATATTAAGTATCTATTTAATGTAAATTTAAACCAAAAGAAGAATATAAAATTCATTAAGGGTCAGAGGGTTCAGAGATAAGGCAAAGGCTCAGACCCACCCAAGAGATGTTTGGAGAAATCTGGATATAATGAAATCAACAAGCTAGTAATGAGAACTGAGTTCTACACAGTGCGGGTGACCAGATGAATCAGATGACCCCCAGGGTCCTGATATTCTAGCTATTCCTAGAGAATTTCTAACTCAAGGTCTGTGGCTTGTGCCTGGATGAAGGTGTCTTAGAAAATAAACTTATGGGCTGAGCCCTTGGCACACTCGGGAGAGTGAGGCGCTGGGAGCGCAGCAGTGCTCCCGCTGTGGGTTCGGATCCTATATAGGGATGGCCGGGGCGCTCAATGACTGAGCACGGTGTGGCCGGTCTCACGGAAAAAAAAAAAAAAAAAAAAAAAAG